AAAACAAAAATCAGCTGATTTCTCAAAAACCCCTTTTTTTCCCGAAGCATCTTTTTGCTAGGATGGAACCCATATATTAATATATATTAATATGTCACGTTGCATTCTCTTGATTATTGTCACGCGATCAGAGATCTGTTGTTTTTTTGGTCACACATTTCCATTTTTGGAGGAGTTAAAGGATCCGCAAGACCAATAAAAGTTGTAGGGACTAGGTGTCCCTGCACCATATTAATATTCAACGATTTATTAGGGATCCAAAAATTTCGTGTAACAAAATTTTTTCTTGTTCAAAAAACAAAACCAATACTTTATACGTAAATAAATCTTTTATTAAAAAATATTAAAATATTATAAATTGTAAAAATCAGTGAATTATTATCTGTTAAATCAATTGATTAGTAAAAATTTTTAATGTTAGTATATATTATGGGTCAAATTATGTTCTTTTTTCTAATGTTATTGCAAACCTTAGTATTAGGGTCAAGTTATATATTAAACTTAGTTTTAGTCTGGGTCAAATCATATAACAAACAGGAATTTTGTTACTGAACTATCTATATATAATCCTGTTGAATATAAAAAGTATATTAATATAAAAAATCAGTGTAACAATAAAAACTGGAATTTTAATAAAATATACAATTACTGGATAATAACTTGAAAATAAAATACAACATTAGATTGATGCCAAGTAATTTGATATCCGGAAATAACATTTATTGAAGTTATTATACCAAATGAAAATGATAATAAAAGTTGGAACATGATTTCAGCTCAAAGTTCCTTGATTTATCCTGATGGTAAAATTATTTATATAAAATGAAAATTGATATCTGATTTTAATCCAAATGTTGATTCAACTTATCCCCCAATAAATGGTGTAAATAGAAATAGCAAGCAAAGAAATGGTTCAAATTATCCACCAATAAATGTAGTAATAGAAATACCATTCACTATATCAAATAATGATTAGAATATTTTAAGATCGGCTTGATTGTTCAAGTATTAGCAAATACGTTTAATGAATATATTGTTATTATATTATAGTTGATGATAATACATTAATATTAAAATTATCTTCCGCTGATCGACCATTGACGGGAATTCACGGGGAATTGTTAATAGTCGTAATGTTATTATTATTAATCAAAAAGTTATTTGATAAATCAACAAATCTTTATTTTAATGTTAAATTCATCAGATGCCGTGAATGGCATTTTGAGACTTGACGTAGAGAGAACAAATTTATTTAATAGTCTGGATTCAGCAAGTAGAATGGAACTTATTAAAATAACACTGGATTTTATTTAACGTGATTTTTCTTGAAGTCCCCAATTGGTTAAATTTTAAAACCTAAATAATGTGGAAATTAACGTTTCGCAAGCCATAAACGGCTTGAATATGTTAATAAACTTATTATTGGGATATCAAGGAACAATTATACAAATTTCATTGATAAGACTTATGGATTTAATAGTAACTTTATTGAAGAGTAAGTATAGCATTCAATTAATAATTGTTTTAATGATTATAATTATTATAACAATGTTATAATTATAAAATTACATTGTTGATTAAATAGTTTTAGCATTTTGAAACATTCAAAATTTAGTTGACAAATAAATTTCTTTTTTAGTGTATTTAATCCTGTACAATAAGTATAGTTGATACATTGTTCAAAAGTGGCAAGCCTTGAAGCACCAATATTCTATTTTGGTGTAGTTAAATTAAATTTTTTTTATTTAAAAATTAAATTATAAATAATTAATTCGACTCTTTGAATAATTTTTTATAATAAAGTATCGTCAATACAGCAGTTATTAGTATTAGTATCTAAATTATATTGTTTAATGTATTATATTATATATATTTATTATCGTAAAATTTAATTTTTATTATTATTTATTATTCTATATTTATTTATATTTAAAGTTAAATTAAAAAAAAAAAACAAAATTGTACACTTATTGCACAAGCAACATTATTATTCGATTACAAAATTAGTTCCCCAAAAAAAAATTTTTTTAATGAACTTTGTATTGTTTTGTTCATTCTAATTTTCTGACCATAAAAAAAATCCCATCCTGGTTTCGGGTTTTATTTTGAGGAGTTTTAGTTTGATAAATCCAACATTTGTGAAATTGGTATTTGAAGTCGTAAATAAAAATCTTCCTCATTTAATTTCAAAGAAATATTTTAAACAACATGATCTTTGATCCATTTTTAATGCAAAGCTATTTCGGATGGCTGATTGGTCTATCTGCTATGGTAATATATATATCGTTGGAATTATTTATTTAAAAATTTTTTATTAATTTATTAATATTTTATTTGCATAATGTGCATTTTAGGTTCATTTCCACAACCTCGTTATTTCAATTTTATTGTATAAGGTTCGAAAAACAAAAGTCTCAAATATTCTAAAAATCATATTTAATATTGGTGGACTGCTTAGAAATATAGGACAACTATGGTTTATAGCAGTTCCAGTTCATGTAACAATCACCGAGTGTAAACTAGCAAGCTATTTCTTACCAATAGCAAATGTAATTTATAAAAGTGCTTTGGTTGCATTCTTGTTGTGGCGATTAAGACAAATCGAAAGCATAAAATTGGATGTATGGGTAGGATCAATATTATTTATTGGTAGATTTCTCTTTCATGTATGTATACAATCATCATTTTTTTCATCATTTATATTTATAAGACAATTATCATTATTATTTATTCTCTTTTTTCCTTGAATACTTTTATAAAAAAATAATAGTTAGCACCACCAATAGTTGGAATTGAGTCTACTGTTAATTATGATGTAGGAAATGAATCATTTAGGTGTTCATCTGATATTGAACATAACAAAGTTTCAATAATTGGAGCCCTTGTATTTGAGTTTGCAATTTATTTTTTTGTCACTTTCCGATTAGTAAAAATTTTGATGAAGGCAAATAAATATTCTATTTTAATGAATAGTACAGGACACTCAAAAGGAAGTTTATTTACAACAGTCATGTATTGGAATTTTATTAGAGTATTTTTGGCAATTATTTCTGATGTAATTGTCTTATCATATACATTACTTGGATTTTACGGAGATAATGATCTGGATCATGCGTTTATTGAAGGCAATATACAAACTGTATTATACATATGTTTATCATATTTTATAACTGCTGATGTAGAAATTGTCAAAGTGGTTGAAAGTAAAAAAAAAGTTCCTAGTGGCTCAGCTAGAAATGATATCTCGACTAAAGGAAGCATGTCAGAGATTTCATTAAGCAATCGTACATCCAGCCAGAGTCTAGCATCAGTTCAATTCGCTTCTAAACATTATGAATTATCAGAAGCCGAGCAAAAAAATTCTAATGATATAGATGAAGGTAAAGTTGCCATTGTGTCGATGAAGAAGTTATCATTTACCGAGTGCGCAAACTTAGTAATAGATGGCCGACCTACCAAAGAAAATAATAAAGATACCGATGATGATAAAGAGTTATATGATAATGAAGGAAACAAAATAGACATAGAAGTGATTGACGAAGAAGTTACAGATAATAATTTCGGTGGGACAGCGTTAATGACACCTAGGACAACGAGAACCCCAAATGATTGGGCTTGATAATGTATAATATTTTTTATTTAAATGCTGTATTTATTCTTGTCTTTTTAATTTAAATTATTTATTTATTATTAATTTGTAAAACAATAATGTTACGCGAATATAAAAAATTAGCTAAATGAATAAAATTTAATAAACAAACGAACCAACCATCGTTTAGCAAATATTTTTATAAAAAATTTTATAATCAAATCATAATGAACCCTCAACGCCGACTTTTTTCACAAAATCATTTATGTCGAACAAATATTAAGATTGAGTCAAATATCCGCTATTCACTGTTGATTTTGTATTTTTGAAAAATAAGGAATGAATCAAATAATTTATGATATTATATATCATTAAAGTTTGACGAACAATAGTAAAAATTATTGTCATACATAAGAATAATTCATCTAGCTCTTCCTCCCACAACATGCATGCACCACTTTGATAGCGTAAAAAACAAATCCACAAAAAAAATTTTATTCTTACAAATTGTCTTTCTTGTTCTCCCTCTCATTATAATACACTGGTAATGTCCTAATGAGTTTATCAATGTTTCAAAATAGATCTTAAAATTTCGTTATATTATTTAAAAATTATATAAGTGTAATAATTTTAAAGGAAAAACTCTAAAGAATAATTCTTGGAAAAAAGAATCAATAATTTTAAAACTTCAAAACAAACTTTAAAGAATAAATTAACACAGCAATAATGTACGAACCATTTGTGGTGGAATCTTTTTTTGGGTTGTTCAGTGGTCTTTACACCATGGTAACGTGAATAAAAAAAACTTACAAAAATTAAATTAATTAATGAATAATTGATTTAATAATGGTTTATTTGAATAGGCGCACCTTCATAATTTGTTTGTTTCGATAACGTTGTATAAATCTCGAGCAAATTTGCTGAATATTTTTAAAATTTTATATAATTTGGGAGGATTAATTAAAGCTATATCTCAAATTTGGCAATTAGTAGTACCAAATGATGTGACAGAAGGCCAATGTATTGCATTAACAAGTTTAGTTGTCACAGGAATTTTTATTTACAGAACTGCATTGCAAGGATTTTTATTATGGCGACTAAAGGGCATTGATAATAAAAAAATAGATTTATGGATTGGCTCCACGCTATTTACTGCAAGAGTTGCTTTTAATGTATATATATATATATAAATTTGTTTAGTTAATATATAAATGTACAGTCTATTAATCTAATTAGTATTTGTTTTTTAAAAAATAGATTGCTCAATTTTTCCAAATAAAACCAGAAGCACTTTATGATCCCGAAGAAGATGCCCATTTTTGTAGTCAGGGATTAGATCTAGCTAGGACCCAAGTATTAGGATACATATCAACTGATTTATTAATTGAATGTTATGTGACGTTTCGTTTTTTGCAAATTTTAACCAAGGCAAATGAAACTGCATTACTTCTGGCGGGTGAATCGAGGGAAAAAAAAAGAAGAACTTTGTTTACTGCAATCATCTACTGGAACTTTTTAAGATTATTTCTTGCAATTAGTCAAAGTGCAATGTTCGTAGGTTGGACAATATCTGGAATCTATAGGAGCAACGACAAAGAGTTGGCCAGTTATATAAACAATACGCAGATATTACTTCTAATAGGATTGTCATATGCAATAACTATTGATGCGGAGATAGTGAGAGTAATTGAAGGTAGAAGGCCATCAATCATTTCCAAATCATTCAAAGGTGTATCACGATCTTCTAGAAATCCACAGGTTCCTAATAAAAATAGCCAATCATTTCGAACATCATCTAGTGAGGCTTCAAACAATGCAATAACAGTAGTTGAATCATTTGATAATACTGATTATGATAAAATTATTTTTAAAGAAGAAAATCAAAATCCATCAGTTAATAAAGGTTCATCATTTTACGAGTGGGGAAAAGTTGTGACAGATGAAAAATCTACCAAAGAATACGATGACTTAATAATAAACGAAGATGAAACAAAAGAACCTTCTGTTAATATTACCAGTAATGATGCTATAATTACTCATGAAGATCAAGGGATAGTAAATGAAGGTGAACCTTCTGTCAATATTACTAGTAATGATGCTATAATTAATCAGGAAGATCAAGGGATAGTAAATGAAGGTGAAACAAAAGAACCTTCTGTCAATATTACTAGTAACGATGCTATAATTATTCGAGAAGATCAAGGGATAGTAAATGAAGGTGAAATAAAAGAACCTTCTGTTAATATTACTAGTAACGATGCTACAATTATTCGAGAAGATCAAGGGATAGTAAATGAAGGCGAGACAAAAGAATCTTCTGTCAATATTACTAGTAATGATGCTATAATTGTTCGTGAAGATCAAGGAATAGTAAATGAAGGTGAGACAAAAGAACCTTCTGTAAATACTACTAATAATGATGCTATAATTATTCGTGAAGATCAAGGGATAGTAAATGAAGGTGAAACAAAAGAACCTTCTGTCAATACTACTAGTAATAATGATGCTATAATTAATCAAGAGAATAGTGCAATAAATAAAACTAGTGAATCAACTGATATTGTATAAAGATTTAGATTTAAAACATATTTATTTATTTATTTTATTTATTTTTTACTTTTAATATAATAATTTTGTTTCTATATATTATGTGCATATTTGTATAATAAAAATTTCCAGATTGTATTATTTAATATTAAATACTAATTAGATAGTTGGACATTTATTCCAAATATGGTACAATCGTAAAAAAATTCGAATCGTGTAACGACCCGTTTTTTAAAAATATGAATATTTTTTTTATATCAAAAATGGTTACTTCAAAGAAAGATTTTCTTTTCAACTTTGCTGTAAATGTCTTGGAAATTGGTGAGAAGATGTAAAATAATTTAAGCTTTCATATGGGTGTTATTTTTTTTTTTTAACGATGAAGTAATGTCACGTAATTTTATTTTGTATATAAGACAATGAAGATACATAAAAAAAGAAAATGACTGCCCCCTAGTAAACTAATCACCGTTACCTACTAAATCAGGCCTAAAAAAAGTATTAAGATTTAAACACCTGACATTCAAACATAGATAAAAGCAAATGGTTATTACTAATTATAATAATCTAAAAGGAAACCACCTGATGCAATTGCATATTCTATACCCTCAGAACCATTTGATAAATTGTTTGTAGGATTTTTATTGTACTTCTTTCTTATTTTTTTTTATTTTTTAGTAATATTTAATGAGATTTCTAATTTAATCATTTCTTCACATCTGGGTTTCCAAATACGCTTCATGATTTTTAAATATATATTGTTCATAATGATAGATGTGATTTGGGTAGTTATTGTTGAGTTTGTGGTATAATTTTGTATTTTGTTGGTAATAAAAGAAGGAACAATACCCTTGATCATGTCAATAAATGTGAGATTGTTCAGGTTGCTATTAACAGACTATATGGTGCTATGTTCTATGAGAATAGGAGAATTGTTATTCTTGATTTGGTTGTATAGCTCTTCCTTTGTATCATGACAGATTTGTTGTGTTTTCTTTTTGTTTTGTGGATAGGACCAGGCATGACTGAAATCTTCTTTTTCATTGCGGCAGAGAATATAATCCCAATGTTTATACAAACCTAGCCTTCTTTTTTTTACATGTTTCAGTGTTGATATTTCTTCTAGCATAAATTTGATCTTGGAAGCTTTACAATTTGAGCTGAAAAAGGATGTTTCATTGGAAATTTTGTCATTATTCAATGAAAAAAAAGTGTTACTCCAGTCTATATTGCATTCTTGATATTTTCTATTTCTATATAAGTTGTACCATTCTGCAAAGCCTGACTTGAACCATAACTTCAAAATTACACCTTGTTTTTTTGGTCATGCATTTCCATTTTTGGAAGAGTCAAAGGATCTGCAAGAACAATAAAAGTTGTACTGTAGAACCAGTGTGTGTAAAATTCAATGGCGACACAATCTACATGCACACATTCCATAATCAGAATAAAAAATTTTATATGTAATAATTTTCTTTGACATTCATAGCTCATTTTTTTATTTTCCCAATGTTTTATATATGCTTTCTCAAAATCGAAATCTTCTATCTCTGTTCATTAAATGTATCAATATTCATTTTATTTATTATTTTATTTTTATTAAATTTTGTTGAGAGAGTATTCTTTCTACTTGAACATTAGAAAGAGATATAATCAGCTATTTTAAGAATAATAAGAAATTTGTTTTAGCCTTGTTGTATGTGAAAATGAAATCTATGTGAATTTGCAATTCATATGCATGAAATTCAACTTAGCCAATCAGAATTTCATATACAAACACCCTACCCCAAAATTTTAATTATTTCAATTTCACATATATACAACAGCCTTGTTTTTTTTTTTGTTAAGTGAGGTCTGATTAGTTTATTTATGTTAATGATTTTCAATATACATACTTATATATTATACAACAGCCTTGTCTTCTTGTGGTGTTCGATGGCGGTTGATCATCAAACATATGTTACATCAATATAACAAATTATTATGTGCGGATTTTTTTA